AGGAGGAGGAGGAGGAGGAGGCGTAGGAGGAGGGAGGAGGAGGCGGATGAGGAGGAGGAGGAGGAGGAGGGCGAACAGACATGCCACACGGTTTCAGAGAGGGTCTCTCCCTCGAGGGGTCGAGCGAGCGGCCTCCTCGTGTTCCACGGCGGGAGGTGGTGGAGTCAACTGTGAGACGTCAACACTACTCTGGTCTCAGGCTCCTGGAATCGGCCACTCGGTTTCGTGTATTCCCCAATCAGTGCATGCAATGAAGGGGTCCTAGCGGAACTTGAAAGATTGGCGAAAGTGTCCCGCCGATTTTGGTGGCCGGCTGGGTTCCCGGGTTCCCGGTTCCTGGTTCCATGGTTCTTGGTCATTGGTTCCGGTCCGTTTTCGGTGGGTTCCGGGTTCCTGGGTTCCCGGTCGATCTCTTCATCGATCTCTTAATCGATCCCATTTCAAACTATCCATTGATTTGGTTATTTGGTGTAATGTTTGTTTCGGAAGGTGGAGCATGCACATTGCCAGTGGCGGGCTGTTTCTCAACCCCAGGACTTGTTGAGGCTCGGGGACGGCGTCGGGGTGGTGCGGTGCATCTTGTTTTGTCCGCATTCCCGGGGAAGCAACCAAAATATACACACCAAGGTTTCGTATACACCAGGATCCGCTTTCCTGGCTGCAGATTTCAGCACACGGAAAGAATGGGCGTCGATGTATGGAGTTCCTTTCTTTGCTCAGGGCTCCCGGAATCGGCCACTCGGTTCCGTGCACTTTCTGTTGCTAGAGCTCGGTTTCTTTCACAGCCAACCCGCATAGTAAGGAGGGGGCGACATGCCCAAGGGTGCCCGTGCATCCCTGCCTCCTCGGTCCATCCCTGGCCACTTCTGTTGGCCGCGCCCCGCTCGAGAAGCTTCCAAATGGGCGTGCCAGGCCCGTGCATCCCTGTCGCGCATCCTTCCGGTACGGGCCGACGGTAGTCCGCTTCGTTCGTCGGCGCCCCAACCCCCGCCGCGCTCTCGGGCACGCCCGGCGCAGCTCCGCCCCCCCTTCCGAGGCTTCGGCACCTGCGGCTCGGCGCAGTGCGCCTGGAGCATGCTCGGGCTCGAGGCCGGCGAGCCCCGCGGGTGGATTCTGCGCTGCAAGCCGGAAGGCGCCAGACGGGAGGGTTAGGTCGGACGAAGGGGGGGGCAGGGAATGTGGAGATCAAGCAGTGGCGAGGCGTCCTGGCTTGCCTATAGGCCCACCAAAGAATGTTCTGAGAACCGTTTGTGGTCTGCACGAGATGTTCTCAGAACATTTCTGGCTGGGGCTGTTTTGTTTCAACACATCGGCTCGGTGTTCTAAGAACGCTGCTTTCGTTCTTATCGACGGCGAGCGAGGGGGGGAAATGAGAAGGAGAAGACCTTCTCAGAAGGTTCGGAAGCCCCCTGGCTTTCTGAGAAGTTGTCTAAGCCTTCCCCGAGAACACCAAAAAACCCTCAGACGGCGCGAGGGCTCCTGAGAAGTCTCGCCGCCTCCTGATGGGGGCCTTCTCCTTCTCCACCGATCTTACAAGCCTCGTCAAAATATACAGAAATGGAAGTTGGAATCCTGGAACACAATGCTTTCGGGCACCTGTCAGAAAGCGCGTTCTTCAATGCTGAGAGGATGGGGTCGGCTTTTCGACAACACCGCGTCCGATTCAGCAGGCATCCGCCAGCATTGGAGTAACTAGCGCTGACCCCACAGTCACCGACGTCAGAAGTCTTCTGTTTATCTTTGACGAGGCTTGCAGTATAGCATTTTGGGGTCCTAATCAGAGCCCCGAATCATCAGGGGTAACTCGGGTCAGGGATAACTCGGGTCCTTTTTCCAGAAATCCAAACCCGAGTTACCCCGGACCCGAGCTACCCCGGATAACTCGGGCGCCCAGAGCCCCGAATCATCAGGGATAACTCGGGTCAGGGCTAACTCGGGTTTCTTTCTCGGGAATCCAAACCCGAGTTACCCCGGACCCGAGTTACCCCGGATAACTCGGGCGTCCAACCTAAGAACAGCGCGTGGGTAGGCCTCCAGGACTGCTCGGACGGCCGGTCCCTGCTCAAGGACACGGGGGCTGCGGCCCCTGCCGCCTGCAGCTCGGTCTCGGCCCCGCCGCCGGGCGCGTGTCTCGATGCATCGGCGGCTCGGGCGGTGCCCCCCAGGCTCGGCACGAAGGAAATACAAGCAGTGGCGAAGCGTTTTGGCGTGCCTATAGGCCTGCCAAGCAATGCTCTGAGAGCCTTTTGTGGTCTCCACGGGACGTTGTTGGAGCACCACCGGCTGGGACTGTCTTGCTTTATCGCACCGGGTTTATGTTATAAGAACTTTGTTTTTGTTATTCGAGCATCTTCGGGTTCTAAGAACATTTCGTGGTAGGACCATTGGAATGCCGGGACGGTCGGTCCCTGCTCAAGAAATGGGTACGGAAAGAATGGGTACAATGCCCAACAGCAGTTCCTACTCATTTTGAACAGCACTCGCTGTCCGCGCCGCCGCGGCCTGTCCCCATTTGAGACAGAAGGCCGCCTGCCCAACAGTTGCCGCTGTTGGTTTGGGACAACATTTGTTGTTGGGCATTGTACCCATTCTTTCCGTACCCATTTCGGGCGTCCAAACAGGCCCCTCGGGCATTGAACGATCATAGGCTTTTTTTAGCTATTTTCGCCCTCCGGGGGCCTCTACCGGCCTTCCGGACCGTCGGATAACGACCATACGGGACGAACAAAATGGACCCGGGAATGGGTCGAGACCCATTGGGGTCGACGTCATGTAAGGATCATTACGTCGGGGGGCTGGGTCGCGTCCAGATACAGCTAAGATCCAGCCGCCCGTGCGTCGGCCGCGCGGCCGGGCAGATGCTCTCGCCGTCTGTTTCCTCCTCCTCTTCCTCATCCTTGGTCATCTTTTGCAGATCGGCGTTTTGTCTTCGGGCGCTTGACGCGCTCTCTCTCTCTCTCTCTCTCTCTCTCTCCCTTTTCTCCGTGCCTGGGTCAAGGGCTATCTGCCAGAAGGCCACAGGAATTTCAACGCGGTGATGCCATTGATCGGAAGCTGGTCAAAGGAAAAATCAATACACGCCCGGAGGCGCCATGAAAACCAGCTGCGTGCGTTGATTCGCTAGTCCTCCCTTCACTAACTACCCCGAGGAGGGAAACAAACAAGCAAACAGGCACACATAGTCGTCGATCCCTGGGAACACATGGAGAGCACGGGAAGTGGAGGGCCAGACGAACATCCAGGAGAGACAGGAAAATGTGTGGGACCCCTGGTTCTGTGCCTCTTGATTCGCCTGTCACTTCCCCTCACTCCTTCGACCCCGACTGGGGCGGGCCGACCGACCCCTCGGATTAAGTCGGGCCTGTCCCTCTACAGGAGGAATATTCAAACATAGTTGAAAAAATAGTATGGGGACGTTTTTGGAGTATTTTTGAGCATAGTGGGAGTATTTTTGGGGTATTTTCTATTTCTCGCGCAGAGTCCCCCTGTAGGGGGACAGGCCCGACCTGACCCTAGGACCGACCCCTCCGGTGACGGCGCCCTCGCCTCGCTGCCTCAAGGCTTGGGCGGGCGGCCCCGGGGAGTCGTCACTGAGGAAGCTCGTCACGCAGGGGGTCGGCCACGCTCGTGAGATCGAGGGCACGTATGGGAGGGGATGTACACAATGTTCGTTTCTAATTATTCCAAAGTGCTTCGATTTTTTGGGGGCCAAGATCCTTTCATTTCTAACTGTGTTATCCTGGGCCTCTTCCTGGCCACTAGGGGGCCGGGAACAGTTTGAAACGAGCATACAAATGAGCACGATTAGAAATGAACGACGTGTAGCCCAAGGCGGGGTCCCGCCAGAGTGCGTGGGTTGAGAGTCTTGGGGCCCTCTTGGCCCGTCTTGGGGCCCTTTGGGCTGCCGAGCGACCATCCGCGCAAAGCCGCGCCAACCCCCGGGAGGTTTGGCAATTTGGGCCCCGGGATCCTTAAAGACTCCCCGGGAGTGAGGATTGAGGCTATGAGGGTTGGGCAAAGGACCTGAGGACACGCCCACTCTGTGCCTAGCGGCACGGTGGCGGACGTCACTCTTCCAGGGGGCGTCCAAAGCGATCTTTGTTCGACCCCACTTCTTTAAAACCAAGACGCTGCAATGTGGACCACTTTGGCTTCAGGAGGGGCTATGGTCAAGTCGAGCGTGTGTCTCTGCAGAAGGAGTATTCCAAAAATAGTTAAGAAATAATCCGTCGACGATCTTTCTACTACTTTTCACCATCTTATGAATTTCTGTTTTGGGCTTGGCTATTTTATTTTTTCCTTCGAAGCAATCCGCCTGTAGAGTACAACGTGCCCGACCGAAGGCCACGGTTTCCGGGCCGGAGGTCTATGCCAGGGAAGCTGCATTCGTGACCGAGGCTCGCCATGGCTGGGCGCTCGCCTCGGCAGCACGATTACACTGCACGTGCCCCCGAGAGGGTGGCTGCGGGGGCCCGGACTTCTGGGTGCCGCGGGACGGAACGCGGCGGGACGGGCGTCCTTTTTGCGACCCGAGCGTTTCAGAGTTCGACCCCGCGGGGACAAGACCAGCCCAGCGACGTGGTCGTGAACATAGGGGGGGGCTCTGGTCGTTTTTGTCCGTTGTGCGCCTGATTTCTGGCGGGCTGTGGTTCTTTCTAGGCGATAGCTCGTTGCCAGACTGTTTGTGTCTACTGAGCTTCTGATGGGCCCTGGGTTTCCATCGGCGCTGTCTCAGTGGTATCGGTCCAATGGTAGCGACGTTGTAGTTCACGCACTTCAGCGAGCTTGCATCCTGAACGCGTGGCCGTTAGCAGGGGAGGACGCGTGAGGAGGAGGAAGAGGAGGAGGAGGAGGAGGAGGAGGGGCTACGACGGGAAGGTCAGAACAGGACGGGATGGGTTGGAAGCTCGATCTTGGATTGCGGTCCGCTGATCCATCGAGCGTTGACCAGGGCGCCCTAGGACTTCACGGATCTGCGATCAGGCTACAGTCTCGCCTATGATGCCAGGAACCTCCTTTGGTTGCTTTGGCCCGGCTCTGCTTTCGCCAGATCCCCTTTTCCTTCCGTTGGTCTCAGCCATCACGACTGCTCGGCAAGCCGCATGGGATGGGAGGCTGGCACGAGCTGCCGCCTCAAATTTCGTCTTGCTACCTCCGCCGGCCCCCTCCTCCCCCCCTCGTGGCTATGGTTCTGGACGCCCGTAATGGGTACGGAAAGAATGGGTACGACGCCCAACAGCAGTTCTTGTCCATTCTGAACAGGACTCGCTGTCCGCGCCGCCGCGGCCTGTGTCCATTCGAGACAGAAGGCCGCCCGCCCAACAGCGGCCGCTGTTGGTTTGGGACAACATTTGTTGCTGGGCATTGTACAGTGCGGTTTTGAATACATGCTCCGCGTGCGGATCATGTACTAACAAATGCAGGGTTGAGTATTGAAAACAACGATGAGCTCATGCATAAATCCATTCGTGCATGAATCATGTATCAGACATCTCATATGGTCAAACTTCCCGTGTATTAAAAACTGCCCTGCACCCTTTCTTTCCGTACCCATCCCCCAGCAACAAATGTTGTCCCAAACCAGCAGCGGCCGCTGTTGGGCGGGCGGCCTTCTGTCTCGAATGGACACAGGCCGCGGCGGCGCGGACAGCGAGTCCTGTTCAGAATGGACAAGAACTGCTGTTGGGCGTCGTACCCGTTCTTTCCGTACCCATCCCGGGCGTCCAAAGCTGCGGGTGCCTCCAGCGCACGGGCCGCCAGCAGCGACGCGCCATGGAGGGCAGCAGCAGCAGCGGGAGCGGGCCGGCAGAGGCGGGGCCTCCCTCGTGCGAGCGCGCGGCCGCTTGCCGCCGCCCTCTGGGAGGATCGAGCGAGGCAGCGTCGGGTTCTCCTTTCCTCCTCCTCCTCCTCCTCCTTTTCCTCCTTTTCCTCCTCCTCCTCCTCCTCCTCCTGCTCCTGCTCCTGCTCCTCCATCTCCTCCTCCTCCTCCTCCTCCTCCTCCTCCTCCTCCTCCTCCTCCGTCAACCTCCCCCGCGGCCACCGGTCCATCCATCCACCCTGCCGGCCTGGCCACTCCCCCCCTCTGCCGTGCTCCTCTAACCTGCCCCTCCGCCTGAGCCACCCCCTCCCTCTCGGCGCCGCTGGGTCTCGATTTCCTGCCTGCTTCTTGCACCTCTGCTCTCTTGGGGGGTCCCTTCCTCCGCTCTCCAGCTCCCGCCATCGCGGGGAAACGGGCCCTGAGGGAACTGGGTCTTGATGCTCTGCGCAGTCTTCGGGCTCTCGGGGCCATCCACGGCCCCCGGCACTGTCCGACAGCTGCTCAGAATGAAGCCCGCGTCCTGGGGAGAGGCTCCGGGGGGTCCGGGACCCGTTCCTCGCAGGACCCGTTGCCAGCGTGCTCAAGCTCCCCCCCGCGCCTCTCCGCCCCGCTTGGCCGGCCTCGGCCTCCCGCCTCGCGCTCCACGGTCCCCCTTCCGGCGAGGGATCGCGCGCGACGGGCCCAGCGCTTGTCGGGTATGCCCCCCCTCCAGCTGCACCTGGGCAGGCCTGGGCTGTTGAGAATTCCGCTTGCGCCCAGATGTCGAAGCAGACCACCGTCACCATCGGCACCCCCCCCCTGTGCGAAGTGTGCAGTGGCGCCGACTTGTCGTGCCCGAGCGCGACGACGCAGCCACGCGCAGAGGGAGGCAATTTGGGGGGCAGGGGGAGGGGAGAAGGCTTCTTAGAAGCACCCCTGCTTCCCAGAAGGCGCGGGCCTTGCCCGCAGATGTGGGGCCGGCGCCGTCTGAGAAGCAGCCTCCTTCGACGAAGCCTTGCCCCCTCCCACTGCTGCCCGGTGCGCGCCGCCCAGGAGTGGCGCGATGGGGGGGCGACAAGCACCCCCGCCTTCTCAGAATCAAGTCGGGCATGTCCCTCTACAGGAGGAGTATTCAAAAGCAGTTATGAAAACATGGTCAGGGGACGACTTTACGCAACCTCCAGGAGCCTCCGAAAACCTCCGAGGTGGACGACGACGACGACGACCTCCAGAGGCTTCTAGAGGCCTTCGGAAGTCTCTGGAGGCCTCCGATCCGATTGGTGTGCAAGTGTTAGCCATACTCGTAAGTCGTTTGCATCAGATAGGCGCAACAGTCTACACACTGATCGTACGCCATGTGAAACTATAGTTTGGGACCATGGTACTTGTACAACCGCGAATTGTTCTCCCATGTAGTAAACCAATTAGAGTGGAAACATGAGCTCGTAAGTTCTACAAAATGATGCTCGTCCCTGCTCGTTCCAGCATGGTTTCATTATGTGTGTTGCACCGCGATTGGCCTTCGAGTGCCAGCTCATGGGTGAGATGTGAAACGCGTTTGAAGGGTGCGTTTCGTGGGGTTGGAGCGTGTGGAGGTGTAGGCGGAGTCACCGACTTCGAGTCTAGACGGCACGCAACTCGATATTCCCGGGCCCACAGACCCCTCCTAACACAATACTATTAATCATGGTGATGCTGATGCTGCTGCTGCTGCTGCTGCTGATGATAATGATGATGGTGATGATGATGATGATGATGATGATGATAATGATGATGATGATGATGATGATGATGATGATGATGATGATGATGATGATGATGATGATGATTACTAGTACGTAGCACCCCGCAGATGCGGATAAGAGTGAGGGGGTGGTGGGGACGACGGCAGTTTGCGAGACTCTGGAGAAGCCCGCCGCAGGCGCCAAAGTTTCAGAAATTATACAACAATCCCGCCACAGGCGACGGTTTTTTCGTTAAACCAATGTGGGAAGGTCGCAGGTGGGTCGTTGGTGGGTCGCGGGTGGGTCGCGGGCGTAGGGGGCAGAAATTCCACCCCATAATAATCACCTCGACAAGCGAAGCCGTTTAGTAAACGCACACAAGGAATGAATCGAACAGGGCAGGGCTGTTTAGTCAACGCCCAGGGCCGTTTAGTAAACGTTAATTGTCGGGTCCGGGTGTTTTTTCTTCATTTGAGGGTGGGTCGCGGGATGAGTCGCGGGTGGGTCGCGGATGGGTCGCGGATGGGTCGCGGGGTGGGTCGCGGGTGGGTCGCGGGGTGGGTCGCGGGTGGGTCGCGAGTGAGTCGCGGGTGGGTCGCGGGGTGGGTCGCGGGGTGGGTCGCGGGTGGGTCGCGGAGTGTGTCACGGGGTGGGTCGCGCGGTGGGTCGCGGGCGGGTGGGTCGCGGGGTGGGTCGCGGGTGGGACAACGACAACCAACAACAACAATTACTCATTTGCATCCTTTTTTTGGAGGTAATATTGGATCTGGGTCTATAAGAACACACGTAAAACACCAAGGACTCGTGCCCCAGGAGAGGCCCGATATATAGAAACACAGGTCAAACATGTACGATTGTGTACACAGGAGAAGGATAATCTATATAATCTATAGAAACATACGTATAACCTCAAGGAATCGTACTCAAGGTGAGGCCCGATCGATCGGAGCATACGTAAAACACATGTGGTTGGAGCCACTCCTGTTGTCTTCTGAGGCCTCCTGCTCCTGGGGCCTCTCGGGGCCTCCTGTTGCCTTCCGATGCCTCCTGGCGCTTCCTGTGGCCTCCTGGGGCCTCCTGTGGCCTCCTGAGGCCTTCTGGAGCTTCCTGGGGCCTCCTGGAGCCTCTTGGGACATCCTGTTGCCTACTGGGTCTTTCTGTGGCCTCCTGATGCCTCATGGGACCTCATGTGGTCTCCTGGGGCCTCCTGGAGCCTGTTGAGGCTTCCTGTGGCATCCTGAGAAGAATCTGCGCCCACGAGCCTGGCCACCACAACAGGCAAACCGATCGAGACATCCTCAAAATCTTGCCCACCTGGGGGGTGAACATGAGCGCCTCGCTCGAGACATCCTCCAAATCTGCTCCGAACGCGAAGGATGTTTGGACAGATAACAGGCAAACCGCTCGAGAAATCCCCACAAAACGGCCGCGAACGGGACTGTGAAACCACCCTTGGCGGCCCCCCCAAGGGGGGGGGGGAATGAGCGCCTCATTCGAGACATCCTCCAAACCTGCTCCGAAAGCGAAGGATGTCGGGACAGAAAACAGGCAAACCGCTTGAGGCATCCCCACAAAACGGCCGCGAACGGGGCGCGCGTGAGTCTCAGCATGAGTAAGTCTGCGTAGGGGTAGGTATGAGTATGAGCGGGTCTGAGTATGGGTAATGTTGTGTGTGAGTAAGTCTGTGTCTGAGTAAGTCTGAGTGTGAGTCAGTCTGTGTATGAGTAAGTCTGGGTATGAGAAGGAGAGGGGCGGAGGAGAAGGAGGAGGAGGATGAGTAGGAGGCGTCCAAGTAATAACAATAACCCCATCTTAGAATATGGGGAACAAAACCACAACAACGCAACAAGCATAATTCACACCACGAATTCCTTATTCAGCCACGCACTCAGGGACAATGGATGACCGTTCGGCCCCCTCAGTCTGATGTTTCAATCGTGCTGTTGCTGATGGTGGTGATGATGATGGTGATGATGATGATGATGACAAAGACGACAATGGTGATGATAATGATGATGATGCTGATGATGATGATGATGCTGATGATGGTGATGCTGATGATGTTGATGATGAGGAGGAGGATAATGTTGATGATCATACTGATTATGATGCTGCTGATGATGATAATACTGATGGTAATGATTATGATGGTGATGGTGGAGGTGCTGGTGGTGATGATGAAGAGGGGGAGGATGTAGGTGGTGATTGTGAGGAGACGCGGCAGCCAAGCACCTATTGTGACGTTTGTTTGAATGATGTTGGTGATGATCGTGGTGATGATGAGGATAATTACGAAGGCGACGCCGACAATGATATGGAGGATGAGGATGAATTGGAAGGCTGTCACATGTGATGCCTCGTAGGACCCACTCGCTGACGAGCTCTGATGGAGCTCATGTTGGCCGTCTTGGGCTTGGTTAGTCTTATATTTCCCTGGGCGTTTTTAAGCCATTCTGCATTTTGGGCTCTTGGCAAGCCAAAAACGCAAACGCGACGCCGTCGCTGTAGATCAGAGTTGTTTGGTTTCTGGTTGAAGGCTGTTCCTTATCTTTCCTGCCGTCTTCACTCCCATTTTTCGTTTCTGCCGCCGTTTTCCCTCGCAGAGCCAAAAACGCAAAACAACAAAAAAGACGCTCGAACACTGGTCTAACACCGGCCCGAAATAGGCCCGGAGGCCCGATGGCCCCAAGAGGGACAATCGGCCATCGGGCCCGGAGGCCGGACGCCCCAGGAGGAGCTCCGAGGACGGCGAGCAGTCGGATTGAGAGAGCTTGAGGGCTGAGGAATGCACGCAAGGAGAAGTCGGGTATGGCCAGGACCCCGGGTAAGGGGACCCGGTTAGTGGTAGGGCCCCGGAGCCTTCGAATTGGCCAGAATCGCTAAACCAGGTTTGCCGTAGCTGGTGTTTTTTCGTGTGACGGCAGTTCTGGTCAGTGGAAATGGGACGGGGGGGCGCCCCCGGTACACATCACTAAACCAGGTCACATTAAACCCAGTTCTGCCAACGCCCGAAGAAGGATCTGAGGACGTCGTAGACGGCAATGTGCAACAATGCAAGGATTGGTCTAAACACATACAATGAAGAAGCAAGAAAACGTAGCTAAAGACGCAAACCACATTTTTCGTTGTTTTGCGTTCTCAGCTTGCTTGTCGGGACCCCAAAGATTCTTCACAAATGGATTGCGACACGCCGAGTTGGAAAAAACGGTGCAAGGCGCCCTGGGCATGTATGATGAAGACGAGCGAAGGTCTTGGGGCTACCTTGGAATCCTTTGGGGCAGCCGTTGGGGCCCCTGGGGCCCTCTCTGGCCGCCCTGGGGCCTTCTTGGGTCGTCTTGGGATTCGCTTGGGCCGTCGCAGGGCCACCTTGGCCGTTTGGAACGCCTTCCGGGCCGTCTTGGGGTCGCCATGGGGCCGTCGAGGCGCTCTCGCAGGCCGCCCCGAATCCTCCCGGAGGCCCTCCTAGACCGGCTTGGTGTCCTCCTCCCCCTCCTCCCCCTCCTCCTCCTCCTCCTCCTCCTCCTCCTCCTCCTCCTCCTCCTCCTCCTCTAGCTCTACAGCTATGTGAGAGGCCCCCCTCAGCACTTTGACGGAGGATACCATACGCACGCATATCACGCAGCGCGCGGGGGGGGGGGGGGGGGGGGGGGGCGATTACGGCGACGGCGAAAGAGAAAGAGCTCGGAAATCGCGTTGCCACGAGGGGGATGGGGACTCAACGAGCAGAAGACAAGCCACCGAAGCAGTCTCGAGGGGCAGGCCATCGGGGTGGCGAAGAGACGGCTCCGATTGGG